GAAAGTTATTGAAGATCTATATAATATTTATAATGAAATATTTAAAACTATTTGCATATTTTTATGATTTTATTCTCATCCGTGTTAATAGAACTTTGTGAAGATTCTTCTCAGTCTTGGTCGATTATTAATAATTAAGTCTCCCAAACGAAGTTTGGGAAGACTTATTGTTTTTGCTCAGTTCTTATTATTATTCTTCTTCTTCTTCTTCTTCTTCTTCTTCTTCCGCCGCTTTTAAATTTGAACTTGTCCGCACCCGTTCTCCAAAACCGCTTGTCAGATTAACTTAGGGTTTCACAATATGTTAGACTAACATGTCTAGTGGTGCAATCAGGGTTTTGTTTGTGCAATGGGGTTTATAAAGGGGTACTTTGAGGGGCAAAAAGAAAAGAGGGTTTTACTATAGAACCCTATGGGATTTTATTTTTTTAAATTTTCAAATGATTATAAATTGAAAACCGTTTGTGATAGACACAATCTTTTTAATTGAAAATGTTCTAAATGATAAAGCCCATTAAATGAAATACAGGGTTAGTCCCCAGAGGTCACCCCACCCCCTGCCATTTAAGAAAGTTCTAATACCTTGTAAGTGCTCAAGATCCCTACCCCTAATCCATATATATTCTGGTTTGTCAAGCCAAGATGGTTTGAATGATTTACAGGGTTAGTCCCCAGGGGTCATCCCGACCCCCTGCCATTTGAGAAAGTTCTAATATCTTGTAAATGGTCCAGATCCCCACCCCTAAACCATATATATTCTGGTTTGTCATGATAAAGCACATCAAATGAAATACAGGGTTAGTCCCCAGGGGTCACCCCCACCTCCTGCCATTTAAGAAAGTTCTAATATCTTGTAAGTGGTCAAGATCCCCACCCCTAAACCATATATATTCTGGTTTGTCATGCTAAGATGGTTTGAATGATATACAGGGTTAGTCCCCAGGGGTCATCCCGACCCCCTGCCATTTGAGAAAGTTCTAATATCTTGTAAATGGTCGAGATCCCCACCCCTAAACCATATATATTCTGGTTTGTCATGATAAAGCACATCAAATGAAATACAGGGTTAGTCCCCAGGGGTCACCCCCACCCCCTGCCATTTAAGAAAGTTCTAATATCTTGTAAATGGTTGAGATCCCCACCCCTAAACCATATATATTCTGGTTTGTCATGCTAAGATGGTTTGAATGATATACAGGGTTAGTCCCCAGGGGTCATCCCGACCCCCTGCCAATTGAGAAAGTTCTAATATCTTGTAAATGGTTGAGATCCCCACCCCTAAACCATATATATTCCTATTTGTCATGTCTGTAACATTTGAATGACGTATACGGTCAGTCCCCAGGGATTCCCCCCACCCCCAATGTTCTAGTATCTTGTAAATGGTCGAGATCCCCACCCCTAAACCATATATATTCTGGTTGGTCATGCCAAGATGATTTGAATGATATACAAGGTTAGTCCCCAGGCATCACTAATGCATATAACTTTACTGGACCAAACCAATATTCACTGCATGTTGCCCAATGTCAGGCGACCCTGGCAATTACGAATTATGGGAGCTTCGTTTGGGAGACTTCGTAACAGCATCCTGTTACAATCATGTCTTGTTATTTGTACAAGAAATACAAAAATGAATGATCTTTATGAAATACAATATTTGAAAAAAAAAATCCGTTAGTTATTGTAGGTTAATTTGATGCTTCTATTCAAAAATTAGTTTTTTTAGGGTAATTTAATTTACCCTACAAACTGGACACTGGACGAAGATTAAAAGCTTGAATGTCTTAAACAGAAAATAGTCTTATTACGCTGTTGTCATTCCAATTTTACCCCATAAAAGCAGGGAGTAAATAAAGTCATAAACCGGATCTGCCTATTGTTTAACCTTTAAAGTCAAATTGATAATTTTAAAGTCGAATTCGTCTATCTCACGAAATCTTGTCAGTCACTTAACTAAAGGGGATTTAAATATGATATCTATGTATAAGTTTGTTTTTTGCTTTCAAAACAAAGGTGATTCATCTTAGATAGATGGGCGTTGTGTTCACATAAGTGAGACAAATAGATGCAGAGTATATGAAACAGGAACCTAAAAACACAATGAACTAGAAAAATACAACTATAGATTGCAAAATACGGTCTCGTAAATGGATAAGTAACCATACCACATATCAATTTCTTTATTTCCAAAGGTTGATTCTTATGTTTCTTATATAAACGAGTCAGCCACTTCATGTGTAATTACAGTGTTTTGTGTTGTTTTCGACAACTTAGAGTACAATACAATAAATTGAAAGTACATCTGTAACAATAATTACAATAGCATGTTTGCGGAAAGAAATGTTGGGTTATAGCGTAAGGTAAGAGATCAACAGGTAGAGATTTGCGCATGTATGTTTGCTTTAACTCCTTCACATTGTATGATAATTTTAATGTATTTTGGTAACTGACTGAATTTCAAGTTTTTTCATTTAGTTATATATACATAATATGAATTCATCAAATAAAATAAAAACCTTTGTTTCTCCTTAGGAACATGTATCAAAACATAATGAGCTTATCTTGTATAGAAATGCATTGCTTTTAGATCTTTTAAAACATTATGCTACAAGTATCTTGCATTCTATTTATCAAAATAATTTTTGTGAATAGTTGTCTCATTAGTTCTTATATACCATATTTAATACTTTTAATAACATATTGACTGTATTTCTTCTTCATTATACATTTGAAATTTTATTAATCGAAATTTAAAAAGTTGCCCCGCCACATGTTATCAATTTAGTTTTCAATTTGTATAATCCTGGCAATTAGATTTTAGCCTGCCTGATGAAGGTAAATCCAGAAATTTTGTTCTATTTATATTGACATTATCCGTTTATGTATTGCATAAATGCGTCTGGTTTTCTACCGTCGGTCTTACTGTTGAATCACACAATGCATCTAGGATTTTCTTTAAGCTTATCCACGAAATCATTTATCAAAATTGTCATTCCTCACATACACTCACACTGAAAAGACCTTAATCTTTATTCCCAATATTTCTCAAATGACGCTGTAGATAAATAAAAGGTAGACGAAAGGACAATTCTTAAGAATGGCGAACGTAGATACAAGTATCTTGTCTTGGGGAGGGATAAATCCTACTGTGTAAAGAATCACTCTGATTCAAACAAAAAATTCTCTGAAACTGACATTATCAAGATGCTTGATTTTTTTATTGACAACATATTTGTTAGGTTTGGAGGACGTGTTTTTCAACAGACTGTCGGAATTGCTATGGGAACCAATTGTGCCCCTCTTTTTGCCGAATTGTTTCTTCATTATTATGAGGCTGACTTCATACAGGAACTTCTTAGGAAGAAAGATAAGAAGTTAGCAATATCCTTTAACTTTACGTTCCGCTATATAGATGATGTTCTCTCACTAAATAATAAAAAATTTGGTGTCCATGTTGAACGAATCTATCCCATCGAACTAGAGATAAAAGATACTACAGATACAGTTAAGTCTGCCTCATATCTTGACTTACATCTAGAAATTGACAATGAGGGTCGGTTGAAAAAAAACAAAACTTTACGACAAAAGAGATGATTTCAGCTTCCCAATTGTGAACTTTCCATTTCTATGTAGCAACATTCCAGCAGCTCCTGCATACAGAGTATATATCTCCCAATTGATACGATATTCCCGGGCTTGTATTTCCTATCATGATTTCCTTGATAGAGGATTGATGCTCACAAGGAAGCTATTAAACCAAGAGTTCCAAATGGTGAAGTTGAAATCATCCCTTCGTAAATTTTACGGACGCTATCACGAGTTGGTTGACCGTTATGGAATAACCGTTTCACAGATGATATCGGATATGTTCCTTATGTCGTTACTACAATACCCTTCCCTTTTCACGAATGTGACCTACCGAATTAGACTATTTACCGGATTTGTAATAACATAAGCAACACGACGGGTGTCACATGTGGAGCAGGATCTGCTTATCCTTCCGGGGCACCTGAGATCACCCCCAGTTTTTGGTGGGGTTCGTGTTGCTTATTCTTTAGTTTTATATGTTGTGTGATCTGTACTATTATCTGTCTGTTTGTCTTTTTATTTTTGGCCATGGCGTTGTCAGTTTGTTTTCGATCTATGAGTTTGACTTTCCCTCTCGTATCTTTCGTCACTCTTTTAAGTAGAGGTCCATTAACTGTCCTTTATAGTAGCAAAGGTCTATACTATCTGCCAAGCTCTAATGCTAGCAGCTTTGCAAGTTGTGAATGAACTTTAATAGAGACTCTTCATGTTCTATCACCAATAATAGTGCTTTAGGATCAACAGTTACAGATACCTTTGCTGGTGAACAATCAGTCCCCGAGGGTATCAAAAGCTAGATAGTTGGTACTTCTGTACTGACATGATTTATAACAAACCTTTCTAAAATTGTCCGTTTATACATTTTGAAATTATAAATAATCTAAGGTTTCAACTCCCTCAGGCAAAGTTGACCTCAGATAGATTTGACTATGTTTTGTCCGTTCTTGGCTTTCAAATATTCGGCCTTGAACATTCGTGATGAAGGTAGTTCCAGAAAAGTGCTTCGGATGCATGACATTTACAAGATGTTGTTTTTATATTTTACAGCACCTTTCTAAAATTGTCCGTTTATATTTTTTTAAATTATAAAGAATCTAAGGTTTCAACTCCCTCAGGCATAGTTGACCTTAGATGGATTTGTCTATTTTTATAGGTCCGTTATATAGCTACTAGTATTGGACTGTTTCGATTCTTATACATCCTTGGCTTTCAAATATTCGGCTTTGAGCATTTCGGATAAAGGTATATCAAGAAAGCCGGTCAAAATCAAACTAAAATGGTAATTTATTAATGACATTGACCGAATTGTATAATACCCTACCCTATGAGTTGGATATATGATGCGATCACTTGTTCGTCCGTCCGTACGTTCGTCCTACACATATGTTTGTCAAACTGTTCAAAGCAACTACCAAACAAAATGAGTTTATTTTTTAATCAAATTGATTGCGGTGAGTTTTAACGCGTTTGCGCTTGTTCGATCTATTAGATATCTTCAACCTTTTGGCTGATATTTTCGACTTTTTCAGAATGTTAAAAAAATTTGCACACATTTCTCCAATAATGCTGAACAGAATGGTTTTGTATTTTGTCAGCATTTCAACAATGATTAGGTTTAACATATTTGGTATTTAGAAATGGCAGATACAAACGTCTTGTTGGCAGATACTTTGCATTACAAGGAATTCATTTAGGATACAGTTAATTTTGTAGGTATACATTTAAGACAAACTAAGTACACAAAAAGTAAAATAAATTGTGATCGGTAATTATTAGTTACATGCACATAATGATTTGGTCCACCGAAAAGTTCCATTAAATTTCGTCTATCCTAAAATTGATTTTTTATCATAATTTTATCGTTTATCTCAAGCTTCAACATCCCTTCTAAGTAGATTAAAGATGTTAAAACTAAAAGTTCCAGAATCTCCAGTAAATAGAGAAATTTTGGCACTCTGTTGTCTTCTTTTCACTTTCCATCTCGTGCTGTTCACATTTTCTTTTACTGCAGATACTAAGTCGTCGAAAAGTTTTCCTAAACTTTCGTTATTCTGGAAAAATGTCTTAATTTTTCTGTCTACTTTTTCATCTTCGTAGTTTTGACAACGTACATAGATGTTATGAAGGAATGTACCATTAAACACTTCTTGTGGGCTTATCAGAGGAATTGGACATCCTAAAAGCTGATTCAAATAGGTCCCAAAAGCAAAACAAGATTGATAATGTGAAAATCCATGCACAATTCCAATTGAAAAGTTACAAGAATCCTTTAAAAAATATTTTTCAGATCTTTTTAATAGGGTTTTCAATTCGTCGACACATAATTTGTGCATGTTTAACAAAATCCGGTCAATCGAGTTTCCGGATTGATAGTTTTTTGTTTTCACAATTGTCCTTGCGGTAAGAACAATATGACACAAAATCAAACTCTTTATGTAAATTGAATCCACATTCGGTTTAGCGTGCTTCACCCAGTACGTTAAAAAGAGGACAAACAATTTTGTATTACCAGAGAATTTATCTAATACCTCTTTGTTTTCAAATCTGAAGATTGAACATAGAATATCTATTTTCTCATTATCCCTTATCTTTTCTATATATTTAGGCATTTGCACTCCATCAGTCGATGTAGATGTGCATTTAAAGCGCACAAGTGATCCACCATAACGATCATACTCAAATATGTTTGTTTCAGCAGTTCCCAACAACATTGCATATATTGCTTTTCTTAATCGAATAGTAGATCTGTGTATTGATCTTTTTCTATAAATGTTCTCAACTTCACATAGAAGAAATATTTCTTGCAAATTAAGTATATTTTGAGCGCATACAGGTATTTTACCTGTCCGATGATTTTCCTTTAATCTGTCTGTTGTATTCGTATTCTTATTCAAAAAATATTGAACAAGATCAAAACCTTCAAAACATGTTATATCTGAAAACATTGTAAGGGACATTTTAACAAATTTACGTAATGTTTCCGGAAGACTCTCTTCCAATCTTGAAGAAGCATCGTCAAGTGAAGCACTTATAGACCACCGAATCGCTTTACTTTGTATCACGGTTAGATTATTTATACTCCGATCATCAGGTAAAGCTGAGTAAAATTTATATAAGTTCTTCCTTTTGATGTAATCACTTCCCAACGTAACAGCTAATATTGGTAATCTCGGTATTTGCAAACCAGGGAAAACCTTCTGCATGTATTTTGCATAATAGACTTTGCCTATGCAGGACGATTCTGAGACAGACAATGTATCTAAGGGTATATATCCTTTTATTAAATCGTACACAAAGAAATCACTGTCATTTGATAAAACTGGACATTGGAATGCATTTGCAAGAGTAGCAATATCGTGATCGGCTTCAAAATCACAGACAACAAAAGGTATTTTCATTTTTTCGATTACCGCTAGGAATGTAATACGGCAGAGCATAGGAGCAAATCTAGCCTCCGAGCTAGAGGTTTCTCTAGATTTACTTATTCTTTCTCTCGCTCTACGTACATGAGTTTCATGTTTTCTTCTGTCTATTTCGTATCCACCATCCATCACAACATATGAACATATTTGATTAGACCTCAGTGCACTGAAGAATGTTTTAATTCTGTCAGCATAATCGTTATAATCTCCGCCATGTTTTAGGTTGATATACCGGTTCTCATATAGATAGTAAATTAGACTGTTACCATCAATAACCAGTTTAGTCTTTGAAATTTCTTTATCTTTAAATAAAATCTTCTCGTTTTTATTTACAATTGTTGTTAATCCTTGAACACCCATCCTAAAAGGTAAAATGATATATACATACTTGGATAAACTAAAATTAAGCAATCAGTTAATCGATAACCTTTTATTATGATAATTACTAATTCGAAAATACAAACATATTATGCATTGCATGATAGAGAATATTATGTTCAAACTTTATTTCTTGAAACAAACAAAGTCATAAAACTCCTCTAATTTATATATTAATTTCTTTAGTTATTTTAGAGAATTTTGTGTTGACGGCAGATCTTCGAAATTTTTGTTCTTTTTGATTTATTCATTTGTTTTTATTTTCTTGACGATTTGCTTGGTATATTATGTAGACATTTGGCTTTTGTATTGTGTATGCCCTCTTCTAGAAGTCTTTTGGAAATTTTGTCGTTGGGTTGCTGTCTCATTTGCGTATACCCTAAATCTTCTTCCAGTCATAACATGTTTTCATTCTACTATCACTAATAAAAGAAAATATATAAAATTTAAGTACAAACTGATGTATAGTTATTCGAATGTTATTTATTCACAAGTTTTCATTTTTGTTTCTTTTTGGTCATGGAGTTTACGAGCTGTTGCTTTTTTATTGCACCCTTCATACCTTAGTACCCTTCTACTACTTACTATGAGCCCTAGGGTTTTCAGGTCGAAACCCGCTTGTGGCGATATAAGTTCGACTATGATCAGGATTGACAAAGATGGACAGTTTGTTTTTATTGCCGAAGATCGGTGTCTTAGTGTATTACAATTTCCTCCATCAAAAAAAAATTCCCGCAATAATATTGCCAAGTTGAAGAAATATTTATGACGAAAAATGATCCAATAAATTAAATCGCAATAAGCATGTTAATATACTTTAACATCCATCTCCCCGAAACCGTTTTGATTTATATATGGTTGCAATTGTAGTTGACCGTTGTAACACAACTTTACTTCAACGGTGAATGGTATTATCGAAGGTTCATTAAACTCGTGTTTGTTTAATAAACATTATGTAACTTTTAAATAGTCAAGTATCGTTGCTTGTTTTCTTAGTATCATGACATAAAATTGAGAATGGAAATGGGGAATGTGTCAGAGAGACAACAACCCGACCAATATATATAGGTTTATCACCTGTTTCATGCAAAATGTGTAATTACAAAAATGCCGAACTCCAAGGAAAATTCAAAATGAAGTCCTTTATCAAATGGCAAAATCAAAAGCTCAAATACATCAAAAGTATGGAGAACAACTGTCATATTCCTGACTTGGTACAGGCATTTACTTACGTAGAAAATGGTGTATTAAACCTTGTTTTATAGCTAGCTAAACCTCTCACTTGTATGACAGTCGCGTATAATTCCATTATACTGACAACAATGTGTGAGCAAACCAAAACAGACATAATAGGTAAAACTGTCAAAAATTTGGGTACAGCAGTCAACATTGTGTTATAATCTTAATCGCTATAAAAACGAATAACTAATTCAACACAGAAAAACAAACTGATATATAGACACTCTACAGACAATGTACATAAGCAAAAATGAAAGACAAGAATACAAAAATGACCATACTACAATAACACAATAGCGGGATGTATAAATACAGAGGCGCGGCAAAAGTATATATTACCAAAAATGGACTAATGCAATTAATTTAAAGCACAACCACATTGGATAAAAAAAATAAAAGAATGAAAAATAAGGAGATTTTGCATGTCTCTTTATAAAATGCAAGCCAGCGGTTTATATTAAATTGTTTAATCAAACTTGATGATGCTGCTTCCTTTAATAAAGCAAGTTTAAGACTATGACTGCTAAAAATAATCATTTATATACTTAAGTATATAAAATTACTTTTTTCTTGCAAATTTATCCCAACCAATAATGTCAATCATTACGTAATTTATTCAGTGATGTATCAAACTAATAAAACGAGGTATGATTGGCAATGAGACAAATCTTCACCAGAAATCAAATGACGTAGCAGATTAGCAACTATAGATCACCGTACGGCCTTCAACAATGAGCAAAACCTATCCCGCATAGCAATCTATAAAAAGGCTTAGAAAAATAACGGCCTGATTTATGTAAAACAAAAACAATAAATGAAAAAAAATATGACAAACAGCAACAAACAATAACCATTGAATTATAGACTCCTAACTTAGGACAGGCAAATACAGAATGCTGCGGGCTATACATATTTGCGGGCGCGCCAACCCTCTAAGCGTATGTCATCTAACAGTAAATGAATTTCAGATCACAAAGGGTAAGAAGTGATGAGATTTCAAAATCATGGAGACGATTACTTTCATGAAAATTTCAAACATTTTTCACGAATGCAGAAAAATGTAACATTTGGTTTATCAATGTAGATATGGTAGGTAAAATAATTCAAAAAACCAGCTACACACAAACAGTGCATCTAAATGTTAAATACGCATTTGTTAAAACATTTCTAACGTTAAAAAAATAATCTTGACGATGAACAAATGCAATAGATATAAGTATATGAACTATACAGAAACATGTACTGGATGTCTATTCAAACAAACATCAAACAAATTTTTTCGAAGAAAACAATACAGAGGTTGTGCAAAAACAGTCATCTGCAATTAGCTTGTTATCTAGCAATTAATAGATTTAAAATAAAAGAGGAAAGCTAATATATCATGAGAAAAAATTAAAAGTCAAGCTTATTTTTATTCATTCCTCAATACTTACCTTTCCAGATGTTAGTTTCATTTATGGAATTTTCTTCAATATGTTCAACCTAACTTTTATCCTTGTTTGTAGAATTTTCGCAAATATTATGCACACAAACAAGGTATTCGTTTTATTACACCTTTGGCAATTTGATCGTTTGCCAAAGTTTTGTTTATATAATGAAAACATACAAAGTAATCTCAATTTATTGGCGGTTACGTATTACATAGTTAAACAAATCAATGCGTACTTATAACTCAATACTTTGGGCTAGATGACGATTGTTAGACATATTAAGTATTATATAATCTTTCAAGTCAGAAAAAAATAATTACGAGTACAATTCTCAATACAATTCAATATAAACGTTAAAAGCTAGGTATTGAATATCCCTTTAAATAAGTGTGGCAGTTGGGCTACTTCCGCAACAAATCTCTGCTGTGACCAAAATCCGATACAAGTTTTGACCAATTTATGATATCTTTATATGTTCATATTTATATACATATCGCGGTTAACATGAATTTATATAACATGATAAAATAAATTCGAGCGTCCGGCCGATAAATAATCAAAGTGAAAATCATTATTGCAGATCAAAAGTAATATAAATACTCTGACCTCAGTATGCTGAACTAAACCTATTAATTACATAACTTCTTGTGTGCTTTAACACATTAGACACCAATGTAGGTTCATGGCAGATCAAGACTTGACCGCAGATCATTTAATAATAACCCTAGATATCATGTATTAGTTAACACGTTACATGAATTAGGCACAATACTAATTAAAAGTCCTTCATTGAATGATTGCTGATAATGTCCAGTGATAAATATTTCACAGATAGTTAAGACTAATAGTCGTTGCAGTATTGAAATAAAACATGATGTAAAATTATAATGTTATTATAAAAAATATATTGGGCACTTTATGTTACAGAAACTCACTGGCGTCATTGAAAGACAAGCTATCATTTAATCAGTACGAAATGACGCCATAATTATACTTAAAATCCTAGCAGACCACACGGCACACTGTGTAAATGAATGAAAATATTTTTCACGTGGCATATAATTCACTGAGTTCTGTCATAATTGAAATCAAGAACAAAAACAAATCATATGCCACTCGCAGGTGACACGAAACACACGTATCATGTACAAGTTATAATACATAACATGATAGTCTTTTCTCAGATAATTAAGCATAATTTGCCGCTAAAATACTGTGCCTTGGCTAGTCGCATATTTTGACAGAAAAACATCACCATAGGGGTATGTGAATACAAATGTTGTGTACTACTACCATGCCTACTTGTCCCATAGTACTTTAGCAATTAGTTCCCGAGCGGTATAGCCTAACTTGATTTTTCACATGGTACCGCATAAGAGTAGATCTAGGTGAGCATAGATCGACGTGAAATAGAGCTGCTGAGCAATTAAGATGAGAGTTATTCCTCGTTAGGGTACGATGGCACCCTAACTACTCAGGAAAATTTTGGGAACGATAATATATTTGGCCAAAATACATTATCAAGACCAAAACGAAATATGTAAAGTTATGTTGCCTGCCCAAGTTACAATATGGAGTACCCCGAAATTGAAGATGGCGTGCCTGGTGAAGCCTGTGTCTTGTGCATGAATTCGGTAGTTGATAAAGAAAAATGTTACAGTTTATGTAAAATCTACAATATTGAGATCAACTAGAAAAATAAATGTAAAAACAAGGCTAGGACGAGGGACATGATACAAAGTAAAATATAATTCATATAACATAGCGCACATTATAGAATTTCGGAAGAATTTAACAAACGAATGTAACAGTTACAGTATTATTTGATTCTTGCAAGTGCAGCTTTAACATCCAAATAGAAGTTCTGATTTAACATTTAAAACATTCCGATGATCATCTTCTAAGTGTTTGTATCATACTATCTTCATTTCTTTGGAAACTTGCACTGGTAGCCGTGCCTGATTGGAAAGAATGTCTGCTATAATCGTTTTTGTTATATCCTTATGACATAAATATAGGTTTTAGTTTGTTATTGAAAAGATTCGAGTAGGTGGTTTCCCATATTCCTCAACGAAAAGCGAATCATTGTCCTTGCGTTTTGTTTCGTCTAATTTTGTGACTGGAAAAAATATCTCTATGCAGTCTAAATGGACTTTACGTATTGCATTGTGTAGTTAAAAAAAAGAATTCAGTGCATCCTTACAGCTCAATTCTTTGGGCTGTATGGCTTTTGTAAGATATAATGATAAAGCATTTTTGTACTGTAGTAGTATATAGACATACATAAAGAAAGTAATTGAAGATCTATATTATATTTATAGTGAAATATTTAAACGTATGTCCATATTCTGTTTATGACTTATTCACATCCGTGTTAATAGAACTTTGTGAAGTTTGCTCTCAGTCTTGGTCGATTATCAATCATAATTTTTTCCCATGAGATATAAAAATTTAAAAAGGATCTTTATGAAATACTATAAAAGTAAAATTAATTTTTTTTAGATAAAGTGTGTTTATGAATTTGATTTTTGTTTCTGATAAAATGTTGCCTTTAACAGTGTTTAAAATATAATTATATCCTGCATATGAAACACTTGTTATCTGCAAACAGGTTAATTTGTATTTTTTACACGGAAATGTAGAGTAATTTAGTTAACTTTTCAAACTTAAGAACTTAAGACTAGACGAAGGTTCAAATAAACTACCAGAATTAAAATTGTGTACGCCAGACGCGAGTTTCGTCTACAAAAGACTTATTCGTGACGATGGAATAAAAAAAAGTAAAAAAAAAATAACCAAATAAAGTACGAAGTTGAAGAGCATTAAGTATTCGAAATTCCCGAAAGTGTTGCCAAAAAAAATTAATATAACTTAAACAGAAAATTGCATTTGTCAGTCTAATTATGCTGCTTATCATTCAAAATTAACACATAAAAAGCAGGGAGTGAATATAGTCATATACCCTATCTGTCTAAAAAGTCAAACTGGTCATTTTCAAGTCGTATTCGTCTATCTCACAAAATCTTGTCAGTCACTATAACTAAAGGGGACTTAAATATGATTTGTTTTCGCCTAAAAAAACAAAGGTGAACAGTCTCAAATAAAGCGGCGTTGTAATGATATAAGTGAGTAAATTGATGCAGAATATACGTAAATGAAAAACAAAAAACACGATGAACTAGATATTGCAACTAGATTGGAAAATACGGTCTTCATTATGGATAAGTATCCATACCACATGTCAATTTATATATTTCCTGAGGTTGATACTTGTATTTCTTATATCAATGAGTCAGCCACTTCATGTGTAATGACAATGTTTTGTGTTGTTTTCGTCAACTTAGAGTACAATGATGTGTTTCCCTCGGTTTTAGTTTGTAACCCGGATTTGTTTTTTCTCAATCGATTTATGACTTTTGAACAGCGGTATACTACTGTTGCCTTTATTTATTACTGACATGATTTATAACAAACCTTTCTAAAATTGTCAGTTGATAAATTTTTAAATTATAAAGAATCTAAGGTTTCAACTCTCTTAGGCATAGTTGACCTTAGATAGATTTTTTTTTTATGCCTGTTACATAGCTTTTTAACTGTTTCGGTACTTAAACATCCTTGACTTTCAATTATTCGGCTTTGGGCGTTTCTGATGAAGGTATATCAAGAAAAGCCGGTCGAACTCTTGACATTCATATCGTGGTGTTTTCATTTTTTTGACAACTGATGACGTTATTGACTTGGGAAAGGAAAATCATTAACATTGAGCGGGGCACACTACATGTAGCTTTTAATTTCATTCAGTTTTCTTTTTAACATGATCAATGGAATTTCAAAGTTACAAAGATGAAAGAACAAACAAAAACTAGTTCAATTACTATAGAATGACTAATATAAGTCAAATATAGAAAATATTCAAAGAAATACCGAACAAGACATCGATGCACGGATGCGCGTAGCGTCTGGGTTAATTACTAGTATCAGTCAAGAGTTGCAAATTTTTCAATATTCAAATGTTTTTTAAATTGGTTATCTTTTTAATTACGTGGACCAACTTATCGGATTTTATGTAAATGAAAATCATAGTATATTATTGTCACCAATAATAAAGCGCTGTTCGGAATACCTTTAAATGAGATTGTTAAAAATGATTCAGACATTCAGACTACAAAAAGACGAGGTATGCAATACATTATCTGAGGATGCTGTCAATTAAGGAAAGCACACTAAAAAGGAGTTGGTTCACTAACTCATAATTTTGTCCCTAAAAATCTGATGTTTTTCACCGCAAAAATATGGTGAAAATTTGATGAAAACATATGCTAAAATGTCCATAGTTTTGCAGCTAAAAATAATTTTCACCTATTGCGTCATTAGTGATGTATTTGTGACGTCATAAAGGAGGTGAATTTCGTAAAATCCTGATTTTTGCAGAATTCGGCAAAATTTTATAACAGTTTTCTGAAAAATTGACAGTGGCGCCACCCTTCGTCCACAGATATTTTTGCGGGAATATTCTTTATGTACCATATTCTTTACTTTTCAACAAAAATTTCAATGGGCGAGGGGTGGCGCCACATATAAAATCATGAAAAAAGGTGGAATAAGTGGAAAATTTCTAGGATAATGAATGAAAATGAAATCTTTATTGGGGTTCCTGGCTCTACTGCTTTACTAACCTGCTTTGATATAAAAAAACATGTATCTCAATACTTTTTTAAAAATAATGTCAATTATATCACTAGCAACAGAAGAACAGTTAATAGTCTATCTAAAATGGGTTAGATATGGTTTAAATAGTGCTTATGAGAGAACTACTCACAAAATACTTAATTGAAAATATGTTGATGGTACAGCCTGGTTTGAGCTATAAACATTTAACGAAACCAAGTATGACTGACAATTGCAACCACTGGACCGCTGGTGCATGGCTTGAAAGACGCACATACAAAATGCTGCTCTAGGGTTAAACATGTTTGCTAGAACTCAATGGTACCATCTATCTATTTGTATATTCCATTTACAACATAGACAATGCATAAATATAATTGAGTCCTTATTATGTTGCAAAAACAATTTTGCATTGTTGCATGGAAGTATAATTCAAATTGCTTTGGGATCACTAGTCTTGTTGTGTTTTTTGTGTACTGTTGTTTGTTTGTTGGTTTTTTTCATTTTTAGCCATGGCGTTGTCAGTCTTTTTTTTGTTTATGAGTTTGAATGTCCCTCTTTCGCCTCTCTTTGTCTCAATATTTAAAGCAGGCGGGTACTGTACTGTATCATATAATATGTGTTTCAAAATATCGGATTGACTTATTTAACATCCTAGCGATAATGAAGCTTGTGTTTAGTCAGTTGACGCAGTTACTACAAACACTATATTCTTAATATGAATACATTTAAAGGGTATATTGGGTATACGTCAATGAGACAGTAATTCTACAAAACAACAAAAAAGACATTTAGAGGTCAACATACACTCTTCAACAATAAACAGGTGTCCTTTTAGTCCATATTATTGCTGGTATGAGATATGTTTTCTGTTTATGAATACTGAACACGAATTGGTTGGTCTATACGATGTGTCTGTGTCTAAACTAACTAATGACATTTTTACCATGTCTTAGATTGTGGTTTAACATCTATGTCGTATGTCTGCTAAGTACCGTGACCTATTCCCGAATATGACTGTTATACCGAATGTGAATTTGCATTGCTATACGACGTGTCTCGGTATTTTGTACATCCAACATTCATGTATTTATTTTTGATGCTTCTGTTATGGTTTCGGTTGAATAAATTGTTATGTCTTATCGTTTGTTGTCCAAATAATTATTAAATTGCCTTTCAATACCATCATTGTCATATTTCCGAATATGACTGTTATACAGAGTGTGAATTTGCATTGCTATGCGACGTGTCTCGGTATTTTGCATATCCAACATTCATGCATTTATTTTTGATGTTTATGTTATGGTTTCGGTTGGATAATGTGTTATGTCCTATCGCTTGTAGTCCAAATAATTATAAAATTGCCTCTCCATACCATCATTGTTATGAAAATTGTTTGGACGAGTATTGTGAAAATAATTGTATAAAGTTCGAAATTGCATGTAAGTTACGTAAGCGTCACTGTTTTTGATATCCTGGGGTGTCTGTCGTTGATGGAATATGTTCGTTGTTCTTCTGCGGTTTGCATGTTGTGTCGACTATTATATTATTTGTCTGTGCTTTTCTCTGTGATGAATGTTCTTGCGTGTGTTTTTGCTGTATCTCTGTCATGTAGTGTTGTCATTTTAGCGATATATTTTAACATTGTCATAAAGCGGGAGGTTTGGCTAGCCATTAAACCAGGTTCAACCCACCATTTTATCTTAAAATGTCCTGTACCAAATCAAGAATATTGCAGTTGTTATCAAATAGTTCGTTTCTATGTATGTTGGCGTTTGTTTTTGTTGCACTTCAGTGTTCATGTTGTTCATTTGTTTTCCTCTTATAGTTGATGTGTTTCCCTCGGTTTTAGTTTGTAACCCGGATTTTTTATCTCTCAATCAATTTATGACTTTTGAACAGCGGTATACTACTGTTGCTTTTATTTACCTTTCAAAATCAATTATCATTTTATGATAAAATGATTTTTTGGTTTTTCGAAGCGGAACAATCCTTCATGTACACCGTTCCATTATACAGCATCACACAACTTGTGTTATTCGAACTCTAAAATACACATCTCTGACAAAGTTTATGGACATTTTTTATCATTGTCTTCGAAATGTGAAATTAAGAATTCTTAAAATTTCATAAATAAGAAATCAAACATGTTGAATTGTAGAATATATCATCACTACTGCAGTAATGAGATTGGATAATCTATATATATATATGTGTATAACTATACAAAAAGTAAAAATGGATCAGAAATGGTATTTTTTAGAAGCAGCTTTTTATTTAATTAATTAACAAAATCAATTGTAATATTTATATTTATAATTATATCTTATTATATCTTTATGAGTTGGTTGATCTTTCAAGTATTGCTTAATTTTTTATAATGTGTATCTAATACTGTAGTATGTAATTTCACATGTTTCATCATGAAAAATAAAATAATTACAAAAAAAAACTATGCAAAAAAAATAAATAAGTGGGGAATCTTTAAAACCATTGAATGGTTAATTTGCTCTATTTTTAAAATCATTTAAGTTTAACACCATTGGTAAAAAAAGCAACTCCGTCGGTAAACATATTGTTTAACGACAAGTATGTCAGAAATACGTTTTATACAATCTTTTTTTTTAAATAATCGGCTTAGCAAAAAACGTTAAAATACCCTAAGACAAATGTGGGTAGGGAAGGAATAAAGACTAAATAACAAAATAATTCATTGTGCTTTATTTTCCGACAAATAAAGATGCTATAGGTGGTTTTACAAGAGATAACGTTGGTGGTTTGATGTTCGAATTACAGCCGTCTCCATGGCAACAGAAATGGCATTCATGAACATTGGGATTGTTAACCATTCCATATTGTCTACAATAATCTAACTTGGCAGAATTATTGGTCCATTTTGCATGGCATGTTTGTTCTGTAACACATCTGTAACACAAGGTGAAACTATTTAAAAAAAAATAAATTATTGTTCAAACGATCAACATCAATTCAGACAAGAATGATTTCAATGGTATATCTACTTTTCGATCCCTTACAAAAAAGATATGCATAATGCATCTAAAATATCCGAGTTTTTCTCCTGTTGACTGTAAATTTAGATTATTGACTGAGAATTGTACTAAAACTAACATGATGATTGCAACTTCTTCAGACACTTTTAAATTTTCCCTTACATCTAATTGCTGTTGCACTTTTTAACAGTTATTTTGTTTATAAAAGAATCTATAATTCAAATTTGTTTTGACGAACACGCATGGACAAGGGATAATACATTATACAACGATCAAGAACCGTATTTTCAAATTATTGGATATATATTACATATACTACAGATATATGCACTTGATAAAGTATTAGCATATTATTGCCAACTAAAACCGAGTAGTTTTAATATTTACGGTACCAATTTAACTGAACCAGATGCGCAAAGTATAAAGTATAAATGACTTGAAATGCATAGAGTCAATGGATATATATTAGAGGTTCATACGAGACAGCTGGATCCGACGGCTTGTGTTTTTTTGTGGATTGGTTGGGTTCTTGGTGGTCGTGGTCAGGGTGAAGTGTATGAAGAAAACAAAAAAAAGTCTATCCAGAATTGGGGCTGCAAGGTTAGGTCTGAAAATTGATGTCCACTTAAGCTATAAAGTCCATTCAAAAAGCGACCTTTTTTATTCAAATAAGACAACAGTTTTGCAAACGATTAAAAAAGTAAACGTGTATATTATCTTTACATTAGTAACTGACCATCATATGGCTTTCATGATATAACCTTTTTGCATCCACTATCCGTAGGCACTTTCATTATACGGGTTTCACCATAACATTATAGCATGTTTGCTTGTGTTGCTCCCAAACAATGTATGTATTGGTAACTTTTTGGAAGATCTTATGGTAACCATGATTATGCCCCTAATGACCATATTCATGTTTGCATTTATTCAAAGAGGTTTACATTGCAAAGGTATATAGCAAATTATACAAACCGTTTGAAAATATGTTCTTTGCCAAAATTGTCAGTTAGAATGTCTGTCATGCAAAAATCCTGACCTGTCTGACACAGCGAAGTAATATTACGATAAACTTCATCTGTAGAGCAAGGGATTAAGCTATCAATGTTTCCACATATATTACATTTAGCCTGTCTCGTAGTACTCGGATTTGATGTTGTTGCAGATGAAGTTGATTGTGCGTTTAGAAGTGGTCGATGTGTTGTTAATGTCTTTGATTTTAACGTTGCTGGAAAAAAAAACACATGTCTCTTATATTATCAAAAAAAGAAAGCAATTTTGCTACATTTGAAACTAAAAGTTTCAAGAAGCTAAAATAGTATGTTTGAAATACAGTTTTAGTTTTTTTTTAAATTTCAAAGTTTGTTTCTTCCTCTAGAAATCTTATTAAAAATATCCAGATTTTTATCGTGATATTGTTTTTAGAGCTCGTGATTTAATATACGTTCTATTCTAACTTACTGGTCTTTAAAATTAATACAACAATTGTTCATTCAGGCTTTTAATTTGATATTGTAATCAAATTTTTCACCATTGTCTTTATCGGTATAAAGCGTTGATTTTATTTTCTTCCGTCGCAAATCGTTCTTGGCGATAAAGAAACACCAGGCGTCAGTCAGTCCGTCCGGTCTTATACCTCTTACGCGTACAGTTCTGACCAAATTAGTTTTATAACATTTATATCAACATTGTATTTAACTAGTTCGATGATCAGGGTTAATCAACTATATCTGCAGGAGTTATGCCCTTGAATATAGAAATTGTATAAAATAAAATGCATTGTAAGCAACCTCAGACCTACATTTCTTGTATGATATATAAGATCAAAATGTTTAAAAAAAACAAATACAATGTAATGGAGTTATTGACAGAAAAAGCATCGACGGTTGAAACGGTTTTGGAACTTTTTGTTTTGTGTCAGTTGAAGCATGGTCAATTTCTTTTTTGAACTTTATTTTTCATGATGTATTTACTAATTTGTATGAACTGCACATTGTTTACTTTACTCACCTAATCACAGGAACTGTAAATTTTACCTCTTTTTTCATTTGTTTATATTTGCAGATTTGTTGAACTAAAGTTATTGGACTGAAATTGTTCACTAAATTGAACGTGCGTATATTGTGTTCCTTTTTCAGTTATTCTCATTTTTTGTTCCAGTTCACCAAATTTACCTATATATTCATCACATTTATTACACGTCTTTGCACATGTAGCGATAACATATGCATGTGCGGTAGCATGGCACAGTCTATCTTTGAATATAGCGCATCTATTATCATTGTCTTTACATAATGGGTTCTCGGTCGTCTTCACTATAATAAAAAAGAAAATCTGTGATTACAATGTTTGTGTTATTAAATGAATAACAGTACTGTAAATGAAGAGTTGCTACCGTAAAATGGAGATTTGTCAGTTGCAAAATGCTACTTTACTAGTTACACATATTTGCGCCCGTCAAATCCTTAAGTGATGGCGGCAACTCTTTAAATAGAGAACTGTCATTTCTATGATGAAATATCGTGAAGAGGATGTTGCATGTATATATTATATTGTATTTTAATAGAAATATTATTAATGAATTGAGAAAACTGAACATGGAAAGTAATGTTACATTTCCAAACCATGGTATTATATCTCAAATGTTTATAATTCTGCCATTTACACTTAACATGAAATGTCCCATTAACACAGCAACTAAAGAATACATAAGAAATCATTGAGAATTAAAATTTCTTGAAAGATGACATTCTACTCAAAATGGAATAAATGACCATCTGTATTCCTTCGTTTCATAATATTCATTGGTTTGTTCTTTTCATTATTGTCTTTACCAATAGTATGTGTTTCTTTATTACTGAAAATAGTCTGCATTCACCACATATCACACAAAAAGTGTGACTGCGTTAAGACAATATATTTTAGATTCCGGTCATACAGATAAAAAGTTATATCGTTAAACAAGTTTAAACGTCATAAGATTAAGCAATCCGGTAATTATGTTAAACAGTCATCGGTTGATATGTGGGATCAAAGAAAAAGTTAAAATGAAATTGAATGGCAATAACAGTCGCACGTCCTAATCATTTTTCCTGCTGGTTATAAATAAACTCATCATAGATACCAGGATTAAAAATTGTGTACGCCAGACACGCGTTTCGTCTACAAAAGACTCATCAGTGAGGCTCGAATAAAAAAAGTTATCTATCATTTTCTATTTAGAACTCCTTTGACTTTTCAATGTTAATGCTATAAGAACATTTTGCCAAGTAATCCAAACTTTGTGTCATTATTTCATTAAATAAATCTTTAACCACATTCATGGAAAATCTGGTAAAATCGTAGTACTTTCATGAATGGTTTTGGGAACGAAATTAGCTTTATACAAAATTAAAAAAAAACCAATAATTTCGCAATTTTATTTATTTAAATTACTCTATAATTCAAAAATTAACCCATGGACAATTTTTTTTTTCTGGCTTAATATAAAAAAAAGATGTGGTATGATTGCCAATGAGACAACTCGCCACAAGAGACCAAATGACACAGAAATTTACAACTTTAGGTCACCGTACGGCCTTCAACAATGAGCAAAGCCCATACCGCATAGTCAGCTATAATATGCTCTGAAATGACAGATGTAAAAGAATTCAAACGAGAAAACTAACGGCACTAACCTGGCACAGTGGTGTAACAGTACAACATAAGAACAAACTATACAAATCAGTTGAAAAAGGCTTCACTCATCAGATGGAAACAAATAAAAATACATCTAACAAAAACACAGAGTGGACGTGGAAGGGTACTTATACATCCTTTCTACAAAAAGTCACTAAGTACAGATCTGAGAGTACTTGCAGTTACTGACTGCTAGTTCAAAGCCAATAACAACTAATAAAAAAATTCATGCATCTAAGACTAAAATATCAATCAGTACACATCCAACATCCAATGGATTTAGTGTAAAGACGTCATAAACAGTCAAAGAAAAACATACCCATTTTAGCAAATGGTAGTCAAATTCTTTTTTTTTTTATCTTTGTTATTCTGAAATTCACCGTTGAAATTCCTTAAAATATTGCTTCATGTTATGTGATAGGTCAATGAGACAACTCTCCACCAGTGATCATATGCCATAGAAGTAAACAACTATATGTCACATATGGACACTTGTGTATAAACAGACGTTGTTCTAACCTGAATGTTGGACTGTCGCAGCGATTGTCGTACTTTTAATTGATGTAGTACTTGTAGTAGTTGTAGCTATGATGGTAATTTTTAGAGCCGTGGTAATACAACTATCAGTTTTGCAGTAACAGGGTAACGTGTTTCCAGAACAACCAAACATCACCTGAAGAGATAAGTAAAATTGAGAATAGAAATCGGGAATGTGTCAAAGAGACAACAACCCGACCATAGAGCAGACAACAGCCGAAGGCCACCAATGGGTCTTCAATGCAGCGAGAAACTCCCGCACCCAGAAGTGATTTGTTTGAATAATGCTTGATAAAAAGAGTCTGCTTGGTTTACAAATGAATGAATGCACAATCATGGACCAATATTCATGTATATTTAAAATAGGCTGTGAACTGTTTATTGTACATACGAAAGTGCGTCGGACTCACGAAATTTCGACAGTTTTATTTTCATTTACTAGCTGTGTTAGTCCCCGAGGGTTTCACCAGCTCATTAGTTTGTATGATTTGGTGCTTTGGTACTGACATGTTTTGACATATTTTCTTTATTCCCCGTCGATAAATAAAGTAGTAATTAAGAAACAAAGGTGCCATGTCCCTCAGACAGAGTTGACCTCAGATGAATTAGGATATTCTCCTATGTTTCTTTTGGTCACAAACATCTTAAAGTTTATACGTATTTATGCCGCCTCGCTTTCAAATGATTAGGTTTGAGCGTTCCTACTGAAGGTAAATATAGAAAAGAGCTTGAACCGCATACAATTTATAAAGATTCATTTTATTTACTAACAATGGGTCAATACCATTGATGGTGGACTGTTAGTCCCTGATGGTGGTCAATACCATTAATGGTGGACTGTTAGTCCCTGACGGTATCATTATTCAAGTAGTCATTGTTTCGGCACTGACATAATTTTAACATATTTTCTAAAATTCTCCGTTAATAAATTACGAAATTATCCAGAAGCTAAGGTTCCGATCCCCTCTACATGGTTTCGATTTTCTTTCTATTGTTTGCTTGACGTCTCATTTATGGATACCCACATTTCCTTTTATTCATAGTTATTGTTTTCATTTGATCGATTGGATTGTAGAAATGTAGAATGTATCTATCATGGCTACTATAAATGAAAAAAAAGAATCTTAACCTTTGTACCAAATTTTGTTGGATCTTCCATACATCTTCCTATTGAAGTGCCCCCTCCATCTTCAACGTAACAGATCTGTGAATGATATTACTATATATATATATTAATATACACAGAAGCCAATTGTATTAAAAGGGAAACACAATGATACATCACATTCTACCAAATTCTCATCAAAGTTTATTTTTGCATTCCTGTTTTTATTTATTCAAACTTCGTGGAATATAAGGTTCCAACTCTCGCAGGCAAGGTTGAACCTAGATGAATTTAGATATTCTGTAAAGGTCCTTTTTATCATATAGCTCATAACTTTGCACCGACCGTATTAACGCATTCCTAGATTTCATATGTTTGGGTTTGAGAGTTTTCCATGAAGGTAAATCCAGAAAAGCACTTCGGACGCGCGAAATTTATAAAGTGCTTATTTCATTAGACATGTTTTATTTGTTTTCCTTGTTGTACAACAGTCAGGTAATGATCTCTACAATTTTTTTTTTATTGCTTATAGCTGCTGTGATGATAAAAATAAATTATACCGGATAACCAATGATACAATCTGTAGGATGTATATAGACAGTTAAAGCGGCTCATAAATTATGATTTGAAATTAACAATAGTTGTTTCTTAAAAGAAACCTTCGTTAGTTAGGCTTTAGTCAAAAATATTAACTTTAAAAAGCATATAATCTGCCAGGCATAAACATAAAAATCAAAATCCATATCAGGCAAAGTGAAAAAAATAAAAAAAATAACAGAAGGCATCTCGATAAATGCTATCCTAGTTTAAAAACCATTATGACAAATCATTTAGTTGACTGTAATGGAATACACGTATCTCTGTCGGAAATGCCCACGAATAGGTTCCAAATGTCTTAAACAATCTCTTTATGTGACATCACCGAGAGAGACTAGATACTGAATGTGTTCATACCTGAAGCAATATGACAGGTGCCACATGTGGAGCATGATCTGCTTACTCTCCCGGAGCACATGTGATCATCCCCGGTTGGTGGGATTCCGTCCGTGTTAATCAGACTTAAGATTTTTATGTGATGTTTTGTAGTCTGTTTTGTTTTGTCTATTTTTCGTTTTTTTTTTCATGATTTCGTCGGTCGCTCTTCGACATATGAGTTTTCATTCACCCTTTGCTTTATTTCTTCTTTTTTATTCATCGATCCGTTTCAATCATGCTTATGTAGTTTTATTCCTTTCCATAACAAATACATACATATGTGTTTGTATATTAACGTATTAGTTTTAAGAACACATTGCGGTCAAAGCCTCAATTATGAATCGATAAATGCACTCGTTCTGCAAGAACGAATCGTCAAATTTGGTTTAGTGAGGTGAAAGTGATTGTTACTTTAAATACTTCGAGATACACTCTTAACATGAACGATGGCATTAGGCTTTACTCTCATCGTAAAGAAGTGTTTTGGAAATGACATGTGACTTTACATTAGACCTTATTTGTATAAATATTGTATTACCTGACCAATAGAACAACGAGTTCCCAAGCAATCAAGTACATGACTGCTGGGGGTCGAAACAGCGCCATTTGCCAATGCAAACAAAAATGACAGTCCAGCTGAAATTACTGTATAACGGTTTTTAAGTATTAGTAGTATCTTTATCGTAGACATTATATAATACATAGTAATGTGTTGGCTTCATAACACAGATGATGATATTTAAGTACATTTCAATGTTACAAAAGTTTAAAAGTTTTTAATGAAGTAAATGTTGTAATTTTTAATGTTGAAAAACAATGACTGTGTTTGCCAGTGAAAAAAGACCCTGACTGTGAGTACGAATTAATTCAAGGATAGACAGCTCAGTAACACAAACCTCGTATCAGGTCTCTTTCTATTTTCTAAGTAAGAAAATCTATATGCTATATGCTTATAATTCAAATTGTTGATTTAGGTACAATAAAAACATTTGATCGGAAAGATAAAGAATTTTTTCATTTACAAACATGTGCAGTTGACCTGACCACTTGTTTAATGTGTCCGTCTATAGGGACAGGAGCCTCTTTCATCATATGTTAATATGTTAATGTTTTAGTTTCTTAAAAGATTTTGAGTTAATAGCGAATCTTGTGATAGTCTTTATATTTACCACTCTTTAGAATCGGGGCAGTTTATATCGATGACAATTGTATGTTTTTATTGGCAACCAAATATTGATCTCTAGAATAATGATGTTTTTGTGTTGTCGGTTCATTGATATATGCCTTACATTTACATGGTACTACATGTAGTTTGATTGAGACAGTATTCAAATACTTCAATCACAAACTTACAAGAATTTGTTACCAAGTCAGACACGCATTTATCACTGTCACAAATGCACACTAAGTCTGCATTCCCTTGATGGGGATCTTGAAGCATTTTAGGTGAGCATAATTGGGGTTCCAGTTGCTGTTCATATGAGATAGATGAAAGAAAATAACATTTTGTCATATCCTATTTTAAAATTGATACAAAAACAAATCTTTTCTGTACTATTTTAACAGGAGAAACACGACAGTTGTCACTAGTGTAGCAAGATCGACTGAACCTTTCGGAGAACATGAGCTTATCCCTGTTTTAGTGGGGTTAGTGTATTAATCTTAAATTTACTGCGTTTTATTATGGACTATTTTGTCCTTTCGCCATTTTTTCCTTTCGGTCATTGTGTTGTCTGTTTTCATTTAATCTATGGTTTTTAACTGTATCTTCTCTCTTATTTTGTTCCAAATTTGTAATCTCTCGCCAGTGTTGCCAAAACAAATTATTCGAGAATCTAAAAATGTCGAATACTGAAAAAAAAATGTATACGAAATAAGACGTCAACACCACGTAAGAATTGTCTTGAGATTTTGAAAATTTACATTATATATTAAAGATATGAAGAAAAATAATCCTGTAGCAGATGTAAATAGTTGGAAAGTAATATGAGATCTTACATGATGCGGAATTCTTTCGCAGTGTGCATCAGTGTGCGAGTTAGACATGTGTACGATACACACCTACAAAACAAGGAAAACTTATTTATGTCTACCAATAAATAAGCTTGTCGTTTGTTGCTGTATATCATATTTGTTTTTTTTCTTTTATTGTTTTGTACATAAATCAGGCCGTTAGTTTTCTTGTTTTAAATGTTTTACATGTTTTTGTCATGTCGGGCCTTTTATAGCTTACTATGCGGTATGGGTTTTGCTCATTGTTGATGGAGAGTTGGCTAATTGTCAATCATGCCACATCTTCTTATTTTTATATCTAATGTATTCATGTTAACTTGAACATTTAACTTATAAAGTAAGTCTTTTTTTTATGATTAGCTATATGCAAAACAGATTTACTTTAATCTAATTAGCTATTATATTTTCCAAAAATTAAGTTCTGTACATCTGAATTTGAGCCCATATTTAATGTTGATCATTCCTGATAGGGGTACTGATTTTCTGGAAATTTTGGAACTGTATAAACTCACTTAATTTAATTTCATATACTACTAGTACTTAATTGGATATAAATTATGTAGTTTCTATATCTTTAAATGTTTGCAACTGACAAATGACTGATAAGTTTTAATTAAACTGGATTTGAAAGTAGAAAATACTGATACCATACATTCACTTAAAGCCTTAATATCGCCTTGTAAATCTAATGGGAAATACATGTACATGCACCTCTTTACCTTACATAATATATTAATAACAAGTAATATAATGCGAGAGTAAATTCGATTGGAAAATTGTGGTTTATAAGAGGTATAGAACATGAGTGTGTTGTTATTGTTTTTTTATTTGTCTGTACGTCTATTTTGTTTATAAGAGGAATCGAGCGCTGATGAATTTTGTGGTCTGTTTTACTGTCCCAATATTTGTTTTGTATAAAAAATGATAATAATAATAATATAAATTAAAAGTTTACCTCACCATGATCACAGTCATCTGTAAGACATCTGATTTGAGGTGGGTGTGCCAAACATACGCCGCCAAACGCCACAAGGACTTTGAATAGTGAAGTGCATATTTTACATAAGAATGTATGCTTCAGTTTTTCGTACATTTATTGAACAGTTATAACAGGCGCTTGTAATTCAGTCATTGTAAACATAAACACTAGTGAGAAACTTAAAACTTCCGCTTTAAATAACATTTTTTTTACCATAAAATTTTAATATTCCTTGCATATTGCGACTTTTTCATACTATTTTAATTTTGAAATAGAAAATTGTCAACATTAAAGTCTTGTTTCTTATATGAAACATACTAAACAGATTTAATATACGCTTGAATTTTCATTACTAAAAATGTGTTTAAATGTTACATGTATAATTAAATAAAATCGAAAAAACACTATATGGTCAGATAAAAAGGCGGAGCAAATTCCTCTAAAATTATTTTACACGAAGGCCATTTCAAAAGCCTTTTAACTTTACTTAAATTCATAGTGTAATACTTGATGTGTATACTTTTCGTATAATATTGTGGATGATTTCTGACATTTTACCAAATTATTAATATCTTTAAAAGCTAGCTCTATACAGAAAGTTTGATAAATACCAAACTAAAGATGCAGGAGAAGGACATTCTTAAACACAGCCAAATTTTAGTCTAGTGAAGTCTTCGAAATAATGGTCTCAGTTAAACTATATGAAAGTTAACTTTATTTACTATCGGAAAGATGGAAATGCTGTGACATTGCTCCTGAAAATGTTACAATTTCAAACAAATTAGAGTAATTTAGTAAGCCACTAAACAGAGAACAATATAGTTAATATTATTATTATTAATACAAATTGTCCTACCGTATGTAATATGTAGTATAATTCCTAATGTAAACATCATGTGTGGACCTTGTATAGTACATATATTTCATATGACGATTAGATTGAGATAAAGGTTCCACTAATTCATATGTCATAAAAGTTCAAAGAACTGATATGACTTAAAATCTTAGTGTAAACCAAACCAGCTGTGTTAATAGGGGAATTGGAGGTACAGACACAAACAAAATTATAAAAATATTGCCTTTGGCTGTTTACGCTCTTTGCTCGGGTTTGTTGTCTCTTTGACACATTCCCCGTTTCCATTCTCAATGTTTTTTTTATAGTTTAATTGACAGAACCAGAAAAGGAAAACCAGTTGTATTGCTGTTATCAATCTAAAAGTGACAACGGGACAACAATAGAACAAATTTTACCTATTTTAATGTTTGCATCCTTTGACATAAAACCTCTGTGCAAAAGACCATCAATGTTTGTTGGACTTTGCCACAAGCTGATGTGCCTTTCCAAGGTCTTTATCATCATATGTTATGTCACATGTGGAAAATCTGATTACGGAACATCTTATATCACCCCGGTGTTTGATAGGGTTCATGTTGCTCTGTTTTTAGTTTTCAAAGATAGTGTTTTGTCGACTGTTGTTTGTCGTGTAGTCGGGTTTTTTTTTTGCCATGTTTTTGTCGGTTTCTCTTCAACTTATGAACTTTTGTTTGTCCTTTTGGTATTTCCCGCCTCTGTTTTGCTGTCTTTTGTAATATCTTAATGTTTTAGTCATTTGATGAATTTGACGTTGATGACAAACAGTCTCGGTTCTTCTACATTGTTTTGGCACGGAGCCAGTACGAGGTTGACATGTATAGAGTAGACTTCAGTTTAGTATTAAAGCCGTTTAGTATTTTTTTTTTAAATCGCTTCTATTTTGAAGGTTTAGTTTTTTTTATCCATTTTCTATGTACCTAAAAGCAAAAGATTTTAGAATAGTTTATTTACAAAATAGACTGTATTTTTTTTCATATTTTGTCATGCCGGACCCTTCTTTTGCTAATTATACTGTATGGGTTTCGCTTTTTGTTGAAGATTATACGGAATAAGTTTTGCTTTTTGTTTAAGATCGTACGGTGAACCTTTAATTGCTAAAATCAACCTAATTTATACTCTAAAGGATTTTTTTCTCATTGACAACCACACCACATGTCCTTAATTTATGTAGATATCATGTATGCGCCTCCCTGACCTGTGACTTGATTTCAGTGATACTGTTTCATAATTTTCACTTCGTAATCTTAATCATTTCATTTTAGTGTTTGATATTTACCCTATTTTCTACTAGATTGATTCCTAGGGTTGGAAAGCACAAACGTTACCGTATATGATGAATAAAAGGGTAGGAAATGATTTGTAACAGTGTCTGCGACAAGTCAATTTTGAAAGTACATCGGTACTTTTCTCACATGAGGACCGCTTTTCCAAAATAGCAAGTATAATTACTATATGGACTTTATTATATTCATATACCTCAAGTACAACTGATTTAGATGTTTTTACGAGACATGACGGAATACATAAGCCTTTGTAACCGTGACTGATATCGATAACGTGACTTCATACAAATTAGGTTTGATAAAGTCTTTGCAACCGAAACTGATATCGATATCTTCACGGATGGCTGATACAGCACGATTGCCATTGATTATATTACACATACAATCTTCTTGTATATATATATTTACTACCAAGTATATATTATAAAGTGTTATTTTTATTTTCAGGCACTGGGCCAATACGGCAGCTGGGTTGCTAGTCGCAGAGAGTGTCACCAGCCTATTAGTCATTGATTCTGTATTGCAATGGTTTTTGAAATTCCTTTCATAAATTTTTAGTTGATAATTTTAGAGATTAATAAGAAACTTAGGTTTCAACTTTCTTGAACAAAGTCGACGTTAGATGGACTTGGCTGTTCTTTTGATATCCTTTTTTCACAGGTCCTCAAGTACTCATACATCCTTTGGTTTCAACATATTGGGTTTGGGCCTGATGGGGTCCTGATGCAGATTAATCCAGGAAAAGAACACAAGGGACGCACACAATTTATGTTATGTTATTTTCTATCTTCAATTTATCAACAGTTTACCTATTGATAATTAAATAATTCTTAAATGTTTTTGAAAATTTTTCGCATGATATTATTATTGACGTTGAATATGTGAATGATATTCGAAATATAGTAACCCTCAATAATAAGTTGTTGAAAACGATATTCTCCCCTTTTCTGATGCATTGCTAGCATTTTTGTCATATTTATGGTCTCTGCTTTAAATTTAAAGACTGATAACTAAATACCAGATTAAGTTTGTAAAACTGGTTTGTATGTCATAATACATTTTGTATCTTCCACTTAAATATTATATTAGTAGATTGCATTGTCATGCATTGCGTAATGATAACGCCTTCTCTTCCCTTGGCATCTGACCCCACATTAGAATATTGAACATATTGTAAAACTAACGTTATGACATTAACCGAACGTTGATAACCTGGCATGATCTCAAACGAAATATGGTACAACATTTTTGAATTTTCAATAGAGGGACATTAAATACATGTACTATAAAATATTATCAAAGTCTCTTATATGAAGATTGCTATTATTGTTCGCAAAGCTTACTTGCTGAAAAGTTTAGTCTATATTCTATGCTCATTATTTTTGA